ATAGGAATAAAATTGTTCATTGGACCAATTTTAATGAATTTTTTATTAATACCAATGAATACTTTTATTGTATTTACGTACATTTTTGGTTCAGTGTAGCGACGCAGTGCTAGCGTTTCAAATTTATTTTTTCTGGCGCAAGCTTTAAAGATGCTTGTTGAAAGGGAGTAGCATGAGGCATAACTACATTTCTACTCGGACGAAGCAGAGCATAATTCGTAATTGAGGTGATCAGTTCAATCTGCTGATCAGCGTCGTGACCCCGTTCTTCCCTAATGAAGAAAAATATTTAAAATTTGGAAAAATCTGTGATTATCTTTACAGTAGTTAATCAGAAAAACTCAAGTTCATAACATAATCAAACAAATAATAAATAGTTAAAGTTGATAATATCTAATTAAAAAATACTCACAACCTTTTCGAATGTAAATTTATAAAATACATTATAAAACAACTAAAACATAAAATTCGTCTCACTACGGTAGTGTTCAAGGAGATAATGAGACGCCTACATTTCCTTCTGGCTTTTAACGAAATTTATGAGCCATTTCTTTCGCTAAATGTTAGGTGTACAGCGCAGTTGCGGCTGTTGCAAATGCGGTACATATTTCAACGAACATAAGCTTGAGTAAAACGATTACACAAATGTAGCTTCGTTAATATCCTTATAATAGCATAAAGTGCATAAAGACGATTTATCGCAAATTAAAGAATAAGAAATACATTGTATAAATTAGGAACGAAAGAGGTCGCAATGGAAGAAAATTGTTTACAATATATAACATTTGTATGCCCTACTTTCCACTATTTAAAATTTATTCTATAAGTAACATGACTCTAATTATATATATATATAGTACACGGAGAGAATTTTCTCTTAGAATTTAGCCTGAAAATCATGATAATAGTGGGGCAACATAGTATTTCAAAGAATTGTATATGAGTTTCTTTAATTTACTAATATGTGTCATAATAAAATATGTAATATATTTTATTAATTTTACTAAAGGGTATAGTAAAATTTCAACATTTTAAAATATGTTACGCAGTTTATGATTCTTTATTATTTTAAAAGAATAGATGCTAAGTAGTCATGAATACATAAAATAGCTTATACAATTTTTACCATACAGCATGATATTTTTAATCTGATTTAGTCGCTTATAATTTTACCATGTAACATAGTAATTGATCGATTATAATCGATATTTATCGGTTATTTTCATTGTCGAGTGTGTCTCTAGCTACGCTAGAACTTACTCACTTCAAAACATTTTACATCTGCATTATAATTTTTACTATATCATTTATAAAAAGTCTCTTGTATATTTCAAAAAATCTATCGTTACTGATAATATTTCATTATTGTCAAGTTGCCCCAAGCTTATTACTAAACATGATGAAATTTGTAATGAATTTTGCGGTAAAAAAATAACGAAAAATTCTCTCCGTGTATATTATTTGGAAAAATAACCTTTGAATTTTACTAAAGAAGCAGCTCTGTTTGAAAACAAAATCACCCGTAATTGTAGACCATCAGAGACGCAAAATAGTCTCTAAGCGCAAATACATATAATGAGGCTTGTAATAGCTAGAAAATATCTAAAAAAATCATCAGAATCTAGACATAAAAAGAAATGAGGTCAAGCGCGACCAATTGTTGAAGAAAGTGAACTTCGTTAAGAAAATCGGCCGATAAGACATCTTGTCGTAGCAATTCTCATTATTTCCCGAATAATTACATCGTTTATCTTTCTTTCTCCCTTTATTAATATTTTTTATTTAGATAGATAAATCCGTAATGCATCAAATTACATCTTTAAATTTTTATTTCTTATCGCATCCTTCTCATTCAAATTTTTTCATTTTTTACAATTTTAATTATACTTATCTAAACTTCTTCTTCATCTTTTCTGTATTCATATTTTTGATAATATAAAAATAAAAAAGAATAAGAATCTTCAGTGCAATATAGTAATATAATTTTTGCAATAAGATTATTTTCTTTGGATCATAAAAAAATTAATTGGATCTTTTTGCTCAATTTTGCAATTACCTACATATAATTTTATTTTATTGTTCGCATTTTAAAATACATATTATGAAGTTTTATCTATTTTATAAATACATTTTAATCCTTAGTTTAAACGATTGGGTTATTCTTGTTCAGCGTTTTTTTTTCTTTGAAGTGTACTAAATTAAAAGCATCAAATAATTAATTACAACATTTATATATAATTTTTTAAAATACACTTTACAAATACTTTCTAAAGATATTAAAGTATATAAGAATCACTTATTAATTTTTGTGTACTTGTAAAAGTTATAAAAATTAATTTTTCACGATTGTAGTAAAGTATCGGAAAATCATATTGTGAATATTACAAACTATTTGTTTCTTATAAAAAATATCAAGAGATTATTAATTTAAAAAATTCGATTCATTAAAAATAAAAGTTTCACGAATCGGAAATAGCTGAGCATTGTTATTATATAATTTTGAAGAAGACTTTACTTTAATACAATACAATTGTAACCTTTTATTCCACAGCAGGAGATGTTAGGCAGTTTCACCATTTTTCTTTTTTTTTACCTAGTCACTCTTATATACACGATAATCAATAAAAGAAAGTCTTAAGATCCAGAATAAGCCTATAGAACATTAGTTCCTAGTATATCAAAGAAATAAGAGCTCTGCAAACTCATTTATTGCATTGACGTTGAATACTAACAAACAAAAAATTGTAGATGAATAATATACATTAGGAAATTGCATTCTAAAATTTAGAGTTATCTAATATTTTTTAATCTAATGTTATATAAAAATCAAAATATTTAACAAAATTGTAAAAAAGAGTTAAAAAGTAATTTTTTAAAGTTTCTTTTTTTAAATTTATAAAGAAGAATTTGGATAATTCAGAAATTTAATTAATTGAATTATGAAAAAAATTATATCTTAAAACAATGGTATAAAATTAAAGAATATTATAATGCTATTATGATTATAATAAAAATTAAATAAAAATAATTATAATATTTAAATATAAATCCTTTAATTTATTTATGAGATTTAAATATAATAATAAAAATTAGTAAAAAATTATAAAATTTAAATATAAAATAATATATAGGAAATTTTTTTTAACTTACTTGTATGTAGCTACTAAACTTTCTATATTAATTGAAAATGTGAATACTGGTAATTCTGTATTCAATCGATAATCAGAATTCATGTAATTAATGTTTTATCGTATCTTCAATCAGAATACTACATTTATATTATCAATGAATATTAAAATTTGCCGGATTCAGAATTATGAAAATATCGAAAATTATTGAACTAATCATTATATAGATTCTGATATTGCAAGAATACATTTTCATCCGGCATATCGTAATAAATTGTGGTGGTTTTTATTGTGCCGCGCCATGAAATATGCCGATAACACCTGCAGTTGCAGCTCGGTGCATGCCGCATCCTTCTTCGGCCGTCTTTTCTTGTTTCCACCCACATACACATAGTAGAAATATATCACGAAACACGGGCACTATCGCGAAGACAGGCGAGCCGCGTTGAGGTATCTATTTGCGTGTATACTATACTTGGCGAGAAATGTGAGAGACAGGTAGTTCATCCTGGTGATCGTCATGTCGTATCTCGTTTGAAACTGTACGTATGTACAACAATTACATAGATATAGATCGACAAAACAAGTTTATAATGTTTAACATGTTAAATTTAATTAATTAAATCTCTTAATAATGCGATATAAAAAAAATATAATATAAAAAATTTATTTGATTTACTCCAAAAATTTAAATAAAAATTTAATATAAAATTGTTTTAAATTTTAAAAATTGTTACAAATTTTTTTGAATTTAATCAGATCTCATTCAAAATTTATGATATTTGATATAATATTTAGCATAAAACGTGAAAGAATAAACCGCAAAAAACTTCTTTTTAACTTCTCGTTAAAATGAAAACGTGAAAGACTCTCTAGGAAAATAGAAATTTACTGTTGCATTCTCTTATACATTACTAACCACAGCATGTTACTTAATAGCCGCGATATGTCATGCAAATTTCGAAAATTTATTATCAACGATAAATGAGTATGTAGATATGAGACAATACATTGTATTTTCCGTTATATTCCAATTGTTTACCAAGAAAACAGACTCACATGTTATCGCGAAAATTCGATTTCTCGTGGGACAGACGGGCAATTTATTTGCGGCTGAAACTCTATTTTCAGGGCATCGCCAGTTTCATTGCTCTCTCGTCGGAGTACAACATATGTGTCGCCGTCAGTGAGAAGATCCTGAGAAATTCCAAAACCGAGGACTTTGATAGAATAATCGAACGGCTGAGCTCGAAGCATAACGCCAGAGGAGTCATAATATTCGTAGACGAGGATAATATAAGGTAGGATTAATCTCGAGTATTCCTTCGTTGCATTTAAATAGGGTCGTTGCTACATAAAATACGATATGAGGAGACATTGTGCAAAAAGCGCGATTGTTGAAATCTGTCTCGCATGAAAAATGCGGTGTGCTCGCTTTATTTATTTTCTTTTCTGCACACAGAGCAGAAAAATGGAATTACTGGACTACGAGAGGAATGTTTTTTTATTCCTTCTACTATGCTTTCGCGTTCCATATTGGACGAAACGTTCTCAAACACGAGAACAAATTATAGTTTTTGTATAACTTATTTTTATCATATAACGCCTCCGTAGTGTTCGTCGAACTAGCAAAGCTCATGTTCGACGTAAAAATTTTAAATATACACATATAATGAAACGCATATAATTTTTTTATCATAAAAAATTATTGATAGAAAAACAATGTTTTATGTAAACAACGTTCAATTAAAAATTCTGAAGTTACTATGCTTCGTAAAAAGCATAAGCAAGAAAATTGTGGACATATCAAAGTAAAAAATATCGATTTGAAACATTATTTTAGAAGCAATTTATTTCGTGTTTCATAACGATATGCATATTTGAGCAGGTTTGATGAAATTCGCTTCAAATTCCTATATTAAAATCTGGTATATAATTACGTTGGAATAATGGGCGGATAATATGGAACGTGTAATTTCCGATTATCCTAAGATCTAATGTGATATCGGTAGAAACAATATTGAATGAATTAGGATGTCGACGGTTGCAATTAGGAATGGACTGTTTAAATGCACGTGCGTTCGTCGCGTTTGGAACTCTAAGCTAATTAAGACTATTAAACGTCATAGTAAGACAAAACGTCCAATTAAACAAACCTTATTCATCTTTTGCAGAATTAACGTGAAAAAACAATTGTACAAACGGACGGGTGTCGAAACGAGACAAAAAGGATTTTAAAATTCTAACGTGGAGAAAATTTTACGGTTGAGCGAAAGAGAAACATCATACCACACTAAAGCGATTTGATATTACAGTAGAGTTACATCCACTCGTTCGGTTATCATAGATCATAGGGTGAGTTGCAATCATAACTTCGATTGGGATAATGTGAGAATTCTAGATTCTGAGAGAAATTGTAATAAGCGAATAATGTCGGAGATGCCCTACGTAAATCGTCAATCCAATGGTCTTGACATGCAAACTAACACTGAGGCTTTAAATCATGGATACATAGAAATTCTCAATAAGTTATAATATGTTCATTTTTATCATTGACCGATATGCTTTGTTCGCGCGACACATCTCTTTTTGTATTGAACGGGTATTATGTGACTAACATCAAAACGAACATGACTCTCTTTTATATTACTTAAATTATTTTTCAATCTAACTTTGACATCGTGATTTTTAAATTTGTTGTAATGGATTGACGATGCTTGGATCCACTTGCAATCGTTATTGGAGATGTGGTGAGTTTTTGGCTAGCATACATTAATTACGCAAATTAATATCCATTTATTCAAAAATATCTCGTTGCAATTATTAGCTTGAGTTCCACTATCTACTCCACTCAGCTAAGCAACTGGTTGGCACAACATTAGACTATGTTGAAGATGATTGTCTCTCACCACATTTCCACTGTGACTGCATTATTGGAGGTCGGAACTACGATTGTGCGAAATGCAGTTCGACAGATTTTATATAGTGCAATAAGCGGTAATTTATTATTGTTGAGGATAGCTCAAATAGTAAGCCGAAACGTACAAAATTGAATTTGTGACACATTAATAGGTATTAGTTAGCATTGCGCAATATAATATCCATTGCTGACTCCTAACGCCCATTTGTATTTTGTTATTTTTTTAATTAGTTTGTATATTTTATTCTCTTTCCACGTATAGTATAATTATTACCAGATTAAACAGATTTTTGCTTTCCCAGAATAAAATTGGTTCTCAAAATTAAACTGCTGAAGGATAGGGGATGAGAAATTTAAGGTTTTTCGGATCTGTGCGTTCAGAGAATAAGCGCTGGGTTTTTGAAAACGACGTGCATTTCAACGACTTAAAAACAGATCGGAGCGAAACCGAGCGGACGAGATAACAGAGCAGCAATTAATTTGGTGTTCTATAAAGTCGATACTCGCTGGTTTTTAGGCAAAAGATGAACGAAGATAAATGTACGGTCGACTCGCTCGCTCTGGTAATTAAAAAAACTTTATACAATTTTTTATTGAAAAAAAAATATATGACGTTGTGGCTAAATAATCTATTAAAGTATCAAATCTGACTGTCAAAGTCAGTGTAATAATAAAGGGAATGATTCGTTATTACTTTTCGATATTTTTATTAAGAGTTTCTTTGTTTTCTGAAGATTACAAGTAATATAAGATACAGAAACTGTGCGTTTCACGGATTACCTCGATCTGTGTTGTGTCCAGATTTATTATTATAATATCAACGTTTTGAATATTACAGTTTTCTTTATTAGGGCGAAAAGTAATCTGATATTGACCTGCTGCTCCGAAGGATTTCCTTTATATAATATGTACTGTTTAAATAAAGTATTATTTAGAAACAGTTTTTTTTCATAAAAAGTTTAATAATATTATCAATGATAGTATATGATTGTATTTTGATCATTCATTATTATTTTTATTTGTGATATTTATATGTTTTTAAAGTAAATGCCTTGTGAAATTGCTATGATAAATTCAAGTGATTGCTAAAGTTATGAATAATTTCCTGCGCAACGTGCAGGAATAATTTTGTGATACGCATTACTCTCTGATGTTATTAATATTTTTTTTTAAATAAAATTGCGCATTTACTCAATTAAACACACATCGTTCGTTTGGAACATATGCTTGTTACATACAAACGTAATACGTTGTTTACTAGACTATATTAAAAAAAATATCGTTAATCTTTTACTGAAATCCATTTCGCGATCCTCTTGTAATTAATAATTACCAAAGTAATGGATTATAAAACAGTCAAGTATAAAATTAATCGTTGAGCACGAAATAAACGAAAAACCGCATTATTAATCATTTATATAGTGATAGTGACAATGCATACGTCACATTTCTGGTATTCGCGCACACACACGCGGTTGCATCGCATTTCATTCGAAATCCCTTATGAGCTATCATTCAAATCCCGACGGAAAATCATCATTCATTATGGAGACAACTGCGGACTAAAGCAACGCGTAATTGCAAATTTTGATCATAATTACACCGGCGTTGCAACGCTTGAACACGCACAAATCGGAAATCTATTTTAACTAATTATTAAGCGGAAATGACGAACGCAATTATTGTGCCTCGCGATGTTATGTAGAAATTTCATTAAGAAATGTAGTGTATTCTTACGTTTCTATTACAATATTTGATTACAGAGAAAAGCATTCTTTCATTACTGCTAGAAAAATATTATTCTGTTCCTAAGAAAAGTGCTTACTTAATTTACTTTATTTCTTTTAAGTAACGGTTGTCTTTAACAAAGAATACTTTTTTTTATAATTTTAAAATATATTTATTACAAATTTAAAAAAAGCTTTTTATTATTGTACTCAAAACAAGAATATATTTTCTTTTGAAAACTTATAAAATTGATCGAAGAAGTAACTTAAGGGAATCCTAAATCGAAGCTCGAACTCCGACAAAATCATCAGAGATCGCTGTTTTTTCAGCGAATCGACATGTCTTTATATACTACCACATCAATATCTCACGCAACCTATAATATACGCAGTCTCACGTTCGTGTCAATTTTCGTATAAAAAATTTGTAGCGATAAAACATCTAAGTCTCATTCCAAAAACTCGACATTATTTGTTCGTGTAAACTACGTGTTTGTGGATTACTACTTCGTAAGTACAGATTGCAAAACTTTCGTATCAAGCAAATGTTGTCACTGACTTGATAGCTTGAGATGCCATGTTACACTCAGAAATGGTAAAAAATATATCTATTTTGAAATTTTTTATCGTTCTCGGCATAAACTCCATCTGACAAACACGTATTAATGTGTATACTTTAATCCTGGCAAAGTATTTGCGAATCTGTGAAAGAGAAAAAAAATATTTGTTATACAAAAATTATATGATTTAATCGGTAATACAGACGGCTTTAGGATCCCCTTAATAAACAAATCGAATTTTAATTTAATAATCTTGATTAAAGTATTAAACTATCAAGATTTATAGAATATGTTTTGAACAAATTTGATGTTTGTGATGAATTTTTATGATATAATATTTCCGGATATACAAACTTTTAAAATGCTTGAAGTAAGTAATTATTATTTGCGTATAGTATGTATTTTTCTGTGTGTACAATTTTCAATTTTGCTTTAATCTTTTCATCGTCAGTATGCTATTTATATTTAAATAATCGAGCTGTTTGAATAGAATACTGAAATCAATCATATCTGTTGAGTATAATGCTAATATTAGTTTTTATTTCGAAGACTGAAAGGATTATTAAAAGATCTTACAAAGAATGTGATTCTACTATTTTATTATGAAACTTTCTTCCGCAGTCGTGAAAAAAAAAAGTTGAAAAAAGGTTTCTGCAAAGAATTTTGTCAAGCACTAGTAATTAAATATCATATTTATAAATATAATTATGTGAAAATTAATAAAAATTACAGTAAATAACTATTATCTATTATTGCTCACTTATATTGATATTTTCATAATTTTTACAGTTAAAGAAAATTTATCAGAACTTTGATATTTTTTTTCTGTCTGTTGGAAAGCACTTTGCGTTTTTATTTTTTTCTCGTAAAGTCCACGGTTCTCTCCTAGAAGCTATCTATTTGATCGCAAGACGTATCCTAACATAAAATATTATTCGAAAGTTTCTCGCAATGTTGAAAATGGTCACCGAAGGTGACCAAGTTCTCGACGATACAGAATAGCTTGCAATGTCGAGTAAATATTGGAAAGCAAGCAAAAGCGCGAGAGGGACCGTGGACTTCGAAGAGTCGAAAACTAAACATAACGCTTCGCC